GCTACCCAGAGCAATCTATACCTTCAATGCCATCCCGATCAAAATTCCAATGACATTTTTCAAAGTGCTGGAACAAACAATCCTAAAATTTGTATTCTTTTTTTTTTAACATATAATATATTATTTGTTTCAGAGGTACAGGTCTGTGATTCAACAGTCTTACACAATTCACAGCACTCACCATAGCACATACCCTCCCAGAGGGTAGATGTGAACAGTTTAAAGTGAAAAGTAGATAGTTATCCATATCATGTGAATTTATTTCTTTGTGCTTTGTAGCAACTTAGAATTTTCTTTTTATTTTTCAGATCACAAATATGTGAATATTCTCTTTTTAAATAATGTTAACAATGTATATATACAGCAAAATAGGAAAAATCTCCCCTACATCACATGGCTGCCTCCTCCAAGACACAGGCAAGATGTACACTTTGAAATGTACTTATTAACTTTTCTAAACATTAATCTACATACATCATAAAATCTTGTACCAAACTATGAGAATAGAAGTGGTTCATAGTTGAAATATAAAGGAGATGAAGAAAGCTCAGGTAGAAAGATAGCAAGTTTTCCAGGGACTGTTGAGACATAGAAGCCAGACACACAAGAGGAGTATTTCAAAATGGAGGAGGCAAACACAGCATCCAGTACTGCCAAGAGTACCAAGTGCTGTCAAGAAAGCTAAGAGGACCAAAAGATATTTATAAGTGGAGAACATTGGAGGCCTAAGAGAGAGCTCTTTTGGTAGAATGATGGAGGCAAAATCCAGTTTCGAATATCTGGAGGAAGAAGAGGGAGGAATCAAATATATAACAATACTTCAGTGTCAGAGAGAGATTTAACATGTTGCAAAGCAGGTGGAAAGGATGCTATTGAGGACATGAGACCAAATATATTAGAGAGAAAATGTATGATCAGTAATGTGAAGTTACTGAGAAGTCAGGAGGTGTGCAGGTGGAAGAATTAGTGTAAAAGGTAGGAAGTATATTTTGTCTATCTGTGGTGACAAGATGGAATGAGGAGACAATGAACAGGATGCCAAATGGTTGGTGTTTTTGAGAGTGCAAAATTAACCTTGTTTCTTCCTGCTGACTCATGTTTTCTATATGAAGAATTCAGTAAGAAGATCTGCTGGAAAGAGGAAAAAGTTCGAAGGATGAGATTTTGATGAGTAGAGCATTTGGGAAGGAACAGTCTCAGAAGGAGGACAAGCAAGTGGGGGAGAGATGTGCAGATGACTTGGCAGGCAGGGTGGGGGTCACTGAAGTTGGGGGAAAGTAGAGGAGGCTGAAGACCTTGCATAATTGACATAAACCCTGTGAGTCTCACTTTCTTTCCAGAATGACTTGGGATAAAGGATGGGCGGTGACTGTGCAGTTTGTGCATCATTGCTCCAGATCATTAATTCCTAATTATTTAGCTGACCAAATTTCCCTCTCTGCTTATAAGTATCTATCTTTTGTATCTTCTCCCCAAGTACAATTAGAAACCATATGCAACATGTCACACAAAGGGGGTGCTCTACAATTGTGGGGAAAGAGGACAGTCATGCAAGGGTCAATGTAAGCATAGAACCTCGGTGAGTGTAAGTATAGGAAGACCTCATTTCAAGACAGGGAAGTGCCTTCAAGTGAGTCCAGAGGTAAACTTGGTGTGAACCATCCAATATATCCCAGGTTGTCCAGTGAGATAGGCATGAGCTTCTCAAGAGGATTGGTTAGTGAAGTGCTCTGGGAGCACTGCATAATATTACCAACTATGTTTGGAGGCATCAGACATGGTCCCACTTGAGAGCATGTACTTCTCTGACTCGGCTTTGGTTTTCCTGACCTCTTTGAACATTTTTTGTATTGTTCCCGGACCTGCAGAGGCAAAGCATGTGTGGGTCAGCTCACCAAAGGCAGTAAGGATGGTAGGAGGACCGGGGGGTGGGGGGGAGTCGGGCAGTGGTACCTGCTGGCTGAGGAGGCAGTACACCAGGAAGATGAAGACGCCCTGCAGGCTGTTGATGATGGTGAAGAGGTAAGCCATGACATGGGCAGCTGGACCCACCTGCAGGATGCCCAGGCACCACGTGCAGCCCAAGATGAGCAGCTGAGCTGTGGCTTTAAATGTCAGCATCCTGGGTAGGAGGAGAAAGGAGGTCATGATGCACCCAGAGCAACACAACCAGGGCTGGTTTCAAGTCCACTCCATGATGCTTCTGACTGAGTTGTGATCAACTTTGATCTTTATTGTCAATGGTTCCAAAGAGAAACATTATTTGGGTCCAGGATGGCATTTTGACTAGGACTGAGGATAATGGTGACACCTGAGAATGTGAGTTTCAAACAGATCATGATGTTTCATGAAGATCCTCAATTTTGTTCAACTGACATTACTGAGAATGTTCTGTGCACCTGGGGCTAGGGCATTCAAAACAACAAAAACAAGACTTCTGTTTTTACAGACCTTAAAGTCTAGTGGAAAGACAAGAACAAATGATTTTTGTGTGTGTGTGAAGTGAAGTACTTCTTTCCATCCAGGGCTGTTCCTTTCCTCACCCTCTCCATGAACTGAATCAGGATGTGCTTTGCCCAGAATAGAGCCCATTGATTCTGTGCAAAGTTGAGGAAAGCAGAGGACATCCCCAAACTGTTAGATGATGTGATATGTGGGTGTTGAAGCTGAGTTCACCAGGTGCAAGGGAAGGGGAAGGCAGAGGGCAGAGCATGCATGAAGGCATGGGCATGATGGGGTATGCTGGTTCTGGAAACTGTTGTGTGATTTCCTGTGTGTATTATAAGTATGTGAATGTTCTCAGGACCTTTTTCATAGGGCCATGGTAGCAATCCCTGCTTATCAGAACAAAGCCCATTCTCTCTGCAGCTGAAGCGGTTTGTTGTTATGGTTGTGCATGGGTGGGATGTTTTTTGGCATGTGTGTCAGCAGCAAACCACAGAATCTGAGCTGGCTGCCAAAGAGGGTGGCTGCACCTCTCTCTTCCGGGCCCCCCAGGAGCACCGTGAAGGGACACTAGAGCCTTGGACGCGTGGGGATAATGTTCTGTATGGGGGGTGGTGTGCACCTGTGACCCATCCTCACCTTGTGTTCTGGAGTGTGGACACATCTCTGTTGTTGGAGGAGAGCTTGGTTTTCACAATCCAGAAGGTCATCAGAAAGAAAGCCAAATTAATCTGCAGAAAACCCACAGGTATATTAACTACACTCCACATCTGGCAAACCTTCGTCCTAGCTCATCCAGCTCCTAACCTGGCAGGGAAGAAGCTTTTGTGTTTTGTAACAGTCCTAGAAAAGCAAACCAAACACCCAGTAACTCAGGCCCATGTTTGCCCTGTAACTTCGGTGACCACTTTAATTCAGTTTGCATGGGAATTACAAATGTTAGCACTGAAAGTGCCACATCTCAGGAAACACCTTAGTCCTGGTTTTACAATGGGAATTCCCACCTCCTGGGAGCCCCTCATCAGTCCTGGGCCAACTGGAATGACTGCTTACCCTGCCTGTCACCCTCCTGATACACCTGATCTTTGAATAACCCTCAGCTGGGCAGGCGGGTTGCTCTGATGTCATCCATTACTCACGGAGAAAATGGTGCAGACGGGGCCAAAGAAGGTCCATATGAATCCTTTGTCTGTGTGGAGCCAGCATCTTAGAGAGAGATGGGAAGAGATTCAAGAAAATATTGGCTTTCATGGACAAAGGACTGATAAATAAACATACCCCTCCCTTCCCAATGTTTCTTCCTTCCTCCTTCATTATTATTATTATTATTTTACTGTTGCTGTCATTGTGTAAGAACATCGAACATAAGATCTATCCTCATAACAAATTTTCAGCATACAACACTGTCATCTATTGTCGCAATGGTTTATACTTGATATCTTGATCCTATTTATCTTATATTACTTAAACTTTGTATATGCTCTTGATAGTGGTCACGGTTACATGGGTGTATACTTATTCCCAAACCCATTAGGTTTTATACATTCAGTATGTTCAGCTTATTCCATGTGAAGCATTCTGTAATAAAGTTGTTTTTAAGAAACATAAATTCCTTTCAAAGAGTTCTTTTAAGTTTTGGCTTCCAGAAATGCTGGCAGAAATAAATATAAATTTTTTTAAAGGAAAAAAAGAATCAATCAGTAAAATAAATTATATATATATATTTTTTTCATTTTTTTTGGACAAATATCAAGTCCTTTCAAAGAGTTCTTTTAAGTTTTGGCTTCC